AAGTTTGGCCTCCAATCTTTTTTTGAAGTACGAGAAATTGGCTTTCCCGTTTAAGAGAAATCGGATGTTGTCTGTGTCTCTAAACAAAAACCCAGCGGTGGGACAAATGTATGTCTCACCGTTGAAATGTGCTTTGACGACAAATTGTGGTGAAGAGGCCATTGCGTAGAATTGTTTTAAGGTTTGAAGCTTGGAATGTTTGAGGTTTATTGATTGTATGAAGGTTTGAATGCTGTAATGTTTGAAGGTTGGAATGTTTGAATTTTATGAGTGATTCGAAGGTTGGAATGTTTGATTGTTTGCAGGTTTGAAGGTTTGGTTGTAAGAACGTTTGAAGGTTGGAAGATTTGACAGATTATGTGAATCAATGTTATGATAAACGTAAGGCTAAAAATTTCAATTAAGTAAGGATGCAACCCCCAAGGCTGCCAATAATGTTACATGCAAGGAATCCCAAAGGCTGTCACGTAGCCTGAGCCTAGGCTGCAACAAAGGACACCTCTTATTCGCCAATTGGGGTGGCAACACCATTCATTTTTGTACTCTTTCGCCAAGTCCAATGGCGCCTCCCTTACTGTCCAATCGTGATACATGCATGGGCTGCCACCTAGCCTGCAAGAGTGACACATTTCATTTTTTGTACATGCATGCATGCATATGTGTAACCCCCTAGGCTGCCACCTAGCCTGCCCCAAGTCTGCACCTACACATGTATTTTGTAAGTCTCCTCCCATCAACTCCAATGGGCTTACATGCACTAATGCAAGGAATCCCAAAGGCTGTCACGTAGCCTGAGCCTAGGCTGCAACAAAGGACACCTCTTATTCGCCAATTGGGGTGGCGACACCATTCATTTTTGTACTCTTTCGCCAAGTCCAATGGCGCCTCCCTTACTGTCCAATCGTGATACATGCATGGGCTGCCACCTAGCCTGCAAGAGTGACACATTTCATTTTTTGTACATGCATGCATGCATATGTGTAACCCCCTAGGCTGCCATCTAGCCTGCCCCAAGTTTGCACCTACACATGTATTTTGTAAGTCTCCTCCCATCAACTCCAATGGGCTTACATGCACTAATGCAAGGAATCCCAAAGGCTGTCACGTAGCCTGAACCTAGGCTGCAATAAAGGACACCTCTTATTCTCCAATTGGGGTGGCGACACCATTCATTTTTGTACTCTTTCGCCAAGTTCAATGGCGCCTCCCTTACTGTCCAATCGTGATACATGCATGGGCTGCCACCTAGCCTGCAAGAGTGACACATTTCATTTTTTGTACATGCATGCATGCATATGTGTAACCCCCTAGGCTGCCACATAGCCTGCAAATGTGACACTTCGCAGGCATGCAAGCACAAGCAACCACTATATCAAATTTATTTGCCTATAAATACATACCATATGATACATCTCTCACACCCACACAAGTCTCACTCTCTGCTACGAAATATTTCACAAGTCTATCATACTCTCTATCTCTTCCTAAGTCTTTCATACTCTCAACCATTTTAAACAATGGCTCTTCTAACAATGGGCGATACTCACAGAGACATAAGAGAAAACATTGCCGCATTTGTAAGTTTCTTTTTTGGTTATACATTTTTCATACTTTAAATAACGCGTTGTTCATCTTAATTAATCTTACACATGTTACATTATGAACTCAGGACACAAAAAGATTCAGAATCCGTTCGTACAACTACCTGGCTCCCGACCCATTTATCGTCCCATATCTGGAATACGCAGGTTTTGGACATGTCATAAAGATCTCCAACTGCACCATTGACTCGAAGTTCATTCTTGCAATATTGGAAAGATGGAGACCGGAGACCCATACATTCCACCTACCAATAGGTGAATGTACCATCACGCTAGAGGATGTGTACATGCTACTAGGTCTCCCTGTCGACGGTAAGGCCGTGAACGGGTTGGTTCAACAACCCAACTCTCAGTGTGAAGAACTGTTGGGCAGGGATATGGTAGAAGGTGGTGGTGCGAGAGGGCAGAGAATACTACTCACTGAGCTGAAAAGTCATTATGCAAGTTTGGAATTAAATGAAAATTCCTCCGAGAATGACAGGGTAGTAAAAGCCAGAACTTATCTTATGATACTTTTTGGTACATTTTTATTTCCCGAAAGTACGGGAAATAGTGTAAATTTTATGTATTTACATTTACTAAGAAATTTTGAAAAAACAAGAAAATATAGTTGGGGTTCTGCAGTTTTAGCCCACCTATACAGTTCCTTGTGCAAAAACGCAGTCAAGGAAAAATGTACATTTTATGGGTACGCTTTTTTACTACAAGCCTGGGGTTGGTGGAGGATGGAGTCCTTAAACCCCGTCAACAACAACACTTTTGGTTTCTCGTACGCAACAAAGTAAGTCATCAAGTTATAGCATTTATAACTATTCATCTCTTCACCAAATATATGCTAAGAATAAAATGTTTCTCATTTCCTTTAGGTACTGCGTGAAGGGTATGGATTATGGCAAGAATCCAAGATTCAATATCACACTCTACCGCAATTTGTTGGATCACTTAGGCCCGGATGACGTACGTCATAGCTTTTAACTTTTGCTCAATTAAATTATTTATACATTACTTTTGCGTTAACCTGATTTAAATTTTATCGCAGTTCGTCTAGAGACCATATTTGGGTTTGGGCCATGATCCAAACCCGGAGGATGCAGCAACTTGGACCGCGAAGACTGCAATCATTCGGTTCAACATTGTGGAGATGCACCACAGCGACCGTGTGAAGATGCAGTTCGGAATGCATCAAGAGATACCAAGTGATCCAACTTGTTTGTCCCCATGGCATCTTAAAAGGGTCGACGCCCAGTGGGGTCTTACCAACTGGAAAGACTTCGCTCCGGAGTGGTGTAAGATGTGGAAGAGGCGTCACCGCTATGTCTTGCAATTCCCGGTTTTCCTTATTCAAGGTAATATGCGACACTCGGATCAATATTTGTCTTGGTACAGGTCGGTTAGTAACCCTGAAATGCACGTGTCTCATCCAAGGTACTTGGTTGACCCACGCACACAATGGGCACAACCCTCGTTTCCCCATCAACAAACCCAAAACCCATCACCCTCCCACCAACCCCCAAGAAGAAATAGACCCACAAACACCCAACCACAGTCCCCACCACAACACAATTACACTCAAATGCCACACAACCAACCACAATCACCACCACACTACCAATACCCCGATATGCCTCACACCCAACCACAATACCAATCCCAATACCAACACACCCGCATATCCCACACACAATTTCAGTCTTCCACATATCCCAATATGGGCCCCTCAACATCCAGCCTTAGCCCTGATATGGGAATGTCGGAAGATTACGAACAAACTGACCCAGCCTACCATCAACCACAATATCACCAAACCACCTAACATCCTCAATACCAAACACCCCAAGATCCATTTCCTTTCTACCCACCGTACTCAGACGATCAATGCTACAGACCCACTATGGAACCCCACCCACCGCCAACACGACCAAACTTTGAGGGTATGGGTAACCGACTGTACCAAAGCGGATCTTTTAGATATGGAGATCTGACTGATTTTATGGATCCGGACCGCATTGACTTCGCTGGGCCATCGACCTTGCCGCAGCAGGAAACGCGACGACACCCAGCACGAGAAAGGCGAGGACAGGGATGCGGAACCGGGGGTCATTACCGGGTTCTGGGGGATCACTGATTTATCTGTTTTTTTTTCCTGTATTTTTTTATCCATTTTTTTAATCTGTTTTTTTATCTGTTATTTTAATGTAATACAGTTGGATGTAATTATTTTTTTTTAATAAAAAGTCCATTTTGTTGATCCTCTGTCCAACACGCAACACACCGGACAAAAAAAAAATAATTTTTGCCCTAAAAATACACTTAGGCGCCATCTCACTTGGCTTAGGGCATGCCCTAAGCACATAGGCGCCAAATGAGATGGCGCGGATCGATCAATTTCAATTCGACGGTTAAAATTTATCCACCTTTAATTCTACCTATATATATTAAATATTTACTGTCACTCTTAATTGAAATGTTAAAAGCCTAGCAGTAACATTAAATGAAACTTTGATGGTTACTAGTATTTCTGAAATACAACCGCTTTTCACACCCACTACTTTTTCTAACAAAAACAAAAAAGTCCTATTTTAACAATGACTCATACTTTAATTAGTTACTACGGTCTTTGTCCCACCAAAGGAATATCATTTAAAAAATTTATACACAAATTAAGAAATATAATAATATTATTATAAAATATTACATTTTTATAAAATTAATTTTATTAATATATTAAAAATAATATAGAAAGTAAAAAATAAATGACACAATTAGAAAAACAATGATAATTATTATATTAAAAAGTGAAAATAAGAGTCATTTTAAAATAAAATTTACTTCCTCTATCTCATGATAAGTGTCTCATTTACATTTTTTTATATCTCAAAATAAATATTTTTTTAGAATATTAATATAAATATGTTTTCACTATCATATCCCTATTTATTACTCTATCCGTCTCATAATAAATGTTTTATTTATATATTTTCTATGTATCAAAGTAAATGTCTCTTTAGAATATCAATATAATATTTATTATTATTTTTAACTATTATATCCTTATTTATTAGCTTTCACGTTTTTGAACAATTCTAATAACCCTATTTTACACCATTTCACCTCTACTCTAACTTTTAAATTTCATGAGAAGCTAGGGTGTAGGTGATATGGTGGAGCCATTGTGGTGTCAAAATAGGAAATCTCTAGCCAAAAAGGTTTGCACAAAACAAAGCGTATAATGAAAGGCATAATAAAATTACACAAACCAAAAAGATAGTGACATGTGAGAAACCATCAAAGTAGACCCCATCATTCCATCACTATGTGCTTGCACTGTCTTCCATAAAGTAACAACCTTTACTTAAACACACACAACCTTACAACCAATTCTTCTATCTTCATCTCAAAATGAACAAGAACACCATTCAAACCTTCCTCCACCTCCTTCTCCTCTTCCTCCTCCCAAATTCATCTAAAGCTTCCATTGGTATAGGCATTGGTGTTGGCATTGGCATTGGCAAAGGCAATGGCAATGGCAATGTCAATGGTGGTCCTAACATTAATGGTAACACTAACACCCCAACCCCTTCAGGATCATCTAAGCAAAATCTAAACAATGCTTACAAAGCTCTTCAAGCTTGGAAATCTTCAATCACCAATGACCCTTTAAACATTCTAGACACATGGGTTGGTCCTAATGTTTGTTCTTACAAAGGAATCTTTTGTGAAACCACTACTACTACTACTACTACTCATGTTGTTGCAGGAATAGATCTCAACCATGCAAATCTTCAAGGAACACTTGTCAAAGAACTCTCACTACTATCCGATTTAACACTTCTTCATCTCAACACCAACAACTTTTCTGGCACACTTCCTGAAACATTCAAAGACTTTACCTTCCTTCAAGAGCTAGACCTCAGCAACAACCAACTCTCAGGTTCTTTTCCGACAGTTACCTTAAACATGCCAAGCTTAATCTACCTAGACCTTAGATTCAACAACTTCAAAGGGTCACTTCCTGAACAACTTTTCTACAAGAAACTCGATGCAATATTTCTCAACAACAATCAATTCAGCGGCGAAATACCTCAAAGCTTTGGTAACTCACCTGCATCAGTGATCAATTTAGCCAACAACAAATTTACCGGAAACATACCCATAAGTTTCGGTTTCATCAGTCCTAAACTCAAAGAGATTATTTTCCTTAACAATGGATTAACAGGTTGTATTCCTCAAGGTGTTGGTGTGTTTACAGAAATGCAGGTTCTTGATTTGAGTTTCAATTCACTTGTTGGTCATTTACCTGATACACTATCTTGTTTGCCAGATATAGAAATTCTTAATATAGGACATAACAAGCTTTCTGGTGATATATCAGATGTCATATGTTCTTTGACAAGCTTGCTGAATTTAACTGTTGCTTATAATTTCTTTTCTGGCTTTAGTCAAGAATGTTCAAGGCTTTTGAATATTGGTTTTGATTTTTCTGATAATTGTATACCTGGTAGGAATTTGCAAAGACCTGAACCTGAGTGTTCTTTGATTCCTGCTGGTGATTTGAATTGTCTTAGAATTCCTAGTCCAAAACCTCTTGTTTGTGCTACTTTGGCTTCAAGCTATCAAGCACAGACATCTCAAAAAAGACCCCGACACTGACGCTGACACAGACACAGAGATATCTGTAATAGTCGTAATCTCAAGTGTTGGTGCAGGTGTCTGATGGTCGCGTCTTTTTAAGGGACTCATATTATTATAGTATTAGAAAACTATATAGTTAAGATTTGCAAGAGTTGTATATTTATTTAAGATGTATGAAGATTATTTGTGCCACTTGGGATGTTCATTTGATCTGTAAAAGTATCACAGGTTATTTAGATTGTGCATTAAGGTTCATTTCCCCAAATGATAAGTCCCTATTTCAAAACTTGTGAGTTCTGTGACACTGTAAAAACTTGATAACAGGGTAATTGGAAGAGAGTCACAAGTGATATGAGAGAGATAAAATTGATTTTATTTGAAGATAAAGTTTGTATCTTTTGAAATTTACTGTCAATTTTTTTATACCATCTACAAATTTATTTAGACTAACATTTGATCATTACTTTGTATCAGTATTTAGTGTTCCTTGAACAAGTTTTTGGATGTGGATTTGGTATTATTTTTCATGTTAGAGTTATAATACTAAGACAGTGGTTTGTAGCATTTGTGAACATGTTGATAACTTTCACAAGACTTATCTAAAATATAGAATACAATTTATTTTTGTTGAGTACATGATTTAAATTTGGGTATCATAGATATGAATCCTTAACCTTAACCCTTACTTCTAGTTGCTTGCCATTTAGGCTAACCCTGGTGGTGTCTAAATTGCATAATTAGCTCTATTTCTCAACCAATTTTTGAGTCATTTTGAACTTCTTCTAACATGATCAAGGATTTCAATTTTAAGTCTTGATCAAATATCCTATTTGAGTAACAATATTTAATTATCTCACATTTATTAGTTGAGTTAAATAAATGTGAGCTATTGATCCATAATTTAATTTCTGACAACATTTTTTATATATTTTTATAATAAATAAGTTGATATAAATAAATTAACAACTTAAAAAAAAAACTGAAGAGCTACATATAGAAGGTCAATTGTTTTTTATAAAATTATATAGATAGAAGGTAGAAATACAGAAAATGAAGAAAGCATCAAAAGAAAGAGCAATGTTTAGTTATCATATGTTAGAAACATACAATAAATCAAACAATAACTAAAGAGCCATAAAAGCATACCTGAAATGAGAGAGAAAATGGCACGCATTGTAATTTATATAAGATGGACGATTATAATTGTATTCAGGAAAATTGTATTCAGGATATCTGTAGATGGAATGGACCTAAACTTCGATGTGGTGGAGTGAACTTGTAATACAATGGAGCAGGGGTGAACCTACAAGACTAACACTCCAGCACTCAAGTAAGTAAATGAGAGATGAAATAGTTTGAGTGTGAAGAATACTTGAAATGACTTGCGCTGTGCTTTATATAAGACGGACGATTAAAATCGTTTTCATGAGCTACGACGCTTTACTTGGGTGACCGTTCGATTAAATCCAATGATGAAATGTGTGCTGAAGTATGAAATCTCATGCCCTTAACTTGGGTGAGGTCTCACTTGTTTCATGTACCTTTTCGCGCGATGCTTGCTATTGGGTCTTTCGTCGCGGGCCTTGCGATCGACCTAGAAAAGTTATCTCCTAAGCCCTTGTTCATATTTGTAGAATATGGGTTTATTTTGCATAGTAATATTAGGAACAAACGCATTAAATGTATTCATCATGATTAACAAGGTTTAATAGGGGAACCTAGACACGTGGCCTTAGGCCTGACAACAACGATTTATTCTTGTACTAGAGTACTCGAGTATTCATACCAATCTAAAGTAATGTCTCAAACGTTGGTGGTGCGGTTCACGCTTTCCAATATTTATTACCGTGGATCATACTGTTTCTTTTATTGTAAGATATATGTGGAGCCATGTACTTACCATTTTCTTTTTCGTTGCTTATGGATTTTAATAATTTTTCTTCCGTGTTTAAAACTTCTTTTACCTTCATTAACCTCTTTTGATTGTGTAGCGGTAGAAATGTTTCAGACTAAGCCATTGGATCGACTAGACTTATACAAATCAAAATAAAAATCGCCACCGCGCTTTATTGTTTCCAAAGGAATGGGAAAAGAGCGAATAATCCAAAAGAGGGGGGAAAGATTCAAGGTAAGGGGGTTGGTTATGCAAAGGGAAGGTATTAGCACCCTAAACATCTACGGTACTCCGCAGGAACCTCTTTGTAAAAAAATATGTATATTTGGCTATAAAAATGTTATGTAGATGTGATACGGTGAGAGAACTGACTTGAGGTTTTGCGTCTGTGTTCGTAAATGTTGCGGTTTAGCATGAGTCGCCACCGACTTTTCTTTTATCCAATAAGGAAAGGTGAAAAAGCACAAGAAAGACCTTTTAGAGATGTTTTTGAGTTCGGGGGGTAGATTATAAAAATGGAAGGTATTAGCACCCTTTTCATCCATGGTTTTCCATGGGCTCTTAGTTACTTGCTAGATCACTTGCTTTTGTGTTTGAAAATTATGCTTTTGTGTAGTTTTTGAAAGTATTTTGAAAATGTGTCATCGTTTAGGCGAACTTTGCAATGATTTTCGTTCGTAAGAATGTATACAAAGTGTTGAGCTTTCGAAAATATTTCAATGTTTGGAAAATGTTTTGAAGATGTTTTGAAAGTGTATGTGATTGTTTTGAAAATAGCAAGGATGTTTATTTTGAGAATGAGCAAGCAACTAAAAGTAATCTACCTACTCAAAAAGTCTTAGATGTATTTTTTCCTCCTCCTTTAGACGTTGCTATCTTACCATTGATTTGATAAGAAGCCCCATCGTTGGATGTGAAGGGACGAGCGTTGGGTCATCGTATGACCATGATAGCAATGTTTCGAGATGACTTAGCACTTTTTCTTTAGGGACTAAGATCATTTTGAAAGACAACTTTGATAGCGTCTTCGAGGGACTATGATCTTTTTTCGATTCGTTTGTGCTAAGACATCCCGCATGCATAACATGACCATTTTTATAAGGCAACAAGTGGAATTACCCTAAGGGTGTAAATGTGTGTGTGTTTGATTGCATGCATAAGTTGTCTTAATTAGGGTGATCTATTTGTCAATTTTCATATCTTGTCATACACCCTAGTTACTAGCATATATTGAAAGCAATAATAGTGCGGCAATGTAAAGTCCTACGCTATTACAATATTTTGGGGAATGGGGGTACATTTTTGTGAATGGGGGTTGCAAGTTAAAATTCTAGATTACCATTACAACCATATTGAAATAGATAAGAATGTACAGGAAATGTAAAATGTTTGTCTGTTTAAAAAAGCAAATAACTTTTGTTTAAGAAAATATTTTTTTGTCTTTTTATATTAAAAGAAAATATATCCTGCAAATGTAAAATATTTTTGGTGTTTTTTGATTAAAAATAAAATATAATATAATGGCAAAATAATAAAAAAGAAAACATAACCAGCGCAAAAATAGAAGGGGTCAGAAGTTCTGACTTTGCCTTGCTGCACAAACAGAAACATGTTAGCAAAAATATGAAAGTTCAGAAGTTCTGGATCTTCTGAGAACTCAAAAGTTTCTTCAGAAGTTCTAACGCAATTGTCAGAATTCTGTCTCTCTCCATGCCAGTCAGAACATCTGCATCTTAGTCATTTACAGAACAAAAGTTACATGTATAACAGTTATGACAATTTTCATGAAAATATCAAAGGCACAAATCAGAAGCAACATGCATTTGTTAATTCTAATTCTGAGTCCTGTTTTCTTTATGAAGCTCTGAACTGAGATTTCCTCTATTTAGGCAGGCAAATGCACGAATTTCTATAATATGTACATCCTCAGAATCAGAATATCTACATTATGCTAAATATACAAAATCTGACAATGCTTAATCAATTAGGATGAGGGTCAGCAGAAAACTTACCTTGCAGTTGGAAAGGATTCTGTGAACTGGAGATTGGTCTTGAATTCTGGTGATGTTGTGAGCAACTTCTACACGTACTCAGTAGGATGGAAATTTGCAACTTCTGAAGCATCCAATGGGTGATATTCTGACTCCTTTGTGGTGAAAGTGAATGGAGAGTGTATGACAACAGGAAATACAGAAGTTAAAGTAGCTTCTAATGTATGAATCAGCAGCTACGTGGATGGCTTTAGTCAAGAACACTTGAGGAAAACGATGGAGTTTGAATGTAAGGAATTAATGCTAAGATTTTGTTATTTTGTGTTTATAGTTTCCTGGGTTCTTGGAATTTTTGCAGTGGTTCAAAGGCTTCTTTCTCAATTCTCTCGTCTCTTTCACAAATTTTTCTGGCCTTTTTCAGTGTGCAAATGGTATTCTTATTTATAGGTAAAGTTTTGCAGTTGGGGCGGTCAAGTGGCACCAACATCATATGCTAGATGCTGACTTACTCTTGAAGTAAGCTTAACAAGTGGGGTTCAATGCATTCAAGTTGGATGGTTAACAACGCCTCAGCTGGATTTGGCAGCGTGAATTAAGGAAAAGTAGAAACAGCGCGTGGGTCTAGCATACTTTTGCATAGAAGTTTGTCTTCCCAAGAAAAGTAGGGGTATACATGGAGAGGATTCCTTGGATAAAGATTTCACAAGTGGTTGTGAGCATTAAATGGGTTCCCATGTGAAACTCTGGATCCTTGCTTGACTCTGGATTAGAAGTTCTGCTTCAGCGTAGCATCTCATCTTCTGATCCTCTTATCTTTTGACTTCAGCATGTTCTGAGGGATCCTTCAGAACTTCCAGTATACTTACAACACGCTTTGTTAACTTTTTTGATTTAACCTTTGCAAACTCTGATTGAACCTTTGTGAACACTGGCCCATAAGTTCTGACCAAACTTTGTCTTGAGACTATCCAGAATTTGCTGAGTGTGAACACTGACCCAGAAGTTCTGAAATTGTCATGCTTCTTAAACACTTAGAAAAATTTCTAAGTTTTTTAGAATTTGATTCTTTCCAAGTAAGATTTGACTTTTGAAACTCTTGATGAAGCAAACTTCACGTTCCAACATATCTTGAT